TTAACTTACTCTATGTGGCTAATATATATATATAGCCTCTTTTTTACAATAAATTCTGCATATTTATTTTACCTATTCCTACTGGAGTCTCGTTTTTTTGGTCCATTTGGATTCCCTGTGGTGAGTGGAGACCTCTAGTCGCCCAAGTTCATCGGGGCAGGCACCTTGGTCTTGTGAGTGCACTACAATTCCAACATATTAACATTTGTTTTACTGTATTACACTATGTGTTTTTTTCTGTTCCTGTTTTAGATTGTACACAGACATATCTCATTTCTCTCTGTATTCAAGTGTATTTCCTTTCTAAACTTGGTGAAAGGATCATTATTTAAAAAAAATATTGTTGAGGTCACAGGTGTCCTTTAAGACAGGGTACAATTGTGAAGTCGTTAGGGGGGAGTTGGAACCCAAAATGTCTGCTTTATCAGATATGATAAAAACCACACAAAATTTACATAAAATGTATAAAGATTATAAAGTTACATAGTTACATAGCTGAAAAGAGACTTGCGTCCATCAAGTTCAGCCTTCCTCACAAATGTTGTTGCTGTTGATCCAAAAGAAGGCAAAAAACCTGGTCTGAAGCGCTTCCAATTTTGCCACAAACTAGGAAAAAATTCCTTCTTGACCCCAAAATAGCAGTCAGATGTCTCCTTGGATCAAGAAGCTATTACCCAATAATTAGAAATTATATCCCTGTATGTTATGTTTTTGTAAGTATTTATCCAATTTCAATTTAAACATCTGTATGGACTCTGACAAAACCACCTCTTCAGGCAGAGAATTCCATATCCTTATTGTTCTTACTGTAAAAAAACCTTTGCCTTAGATGAAATCTCCTTTCTTCCAGACTAAATGTGTGACCTCGTGTCCTATGTATAGCCCTGTTTATGAATAGATTTCCAGATAAAGGTTTGTACTGGCCCTGAATATATTTGTATAAAGTTATCATATCCCCTCTCAGAGAATTCCATATCCTTATTGTTCTTACTGTAAAAAAACCTTTGCCTTAGATGAAATCGCCTTTCTTCCAGTCTAAATGTGTGACCTCGTGTCCTATGTATAGCCCTGTTTATGAATAGATTTCCAGATAAAGGTTTGTACTGGCCCTGAATATATTTGTATAAAGTTATCATATCTCCTCTCAGGCTCCGTTTTTCCAAACTAAACAGATTTAAATTTTTTTAACCTTTCTTCATAACTAAAATGCTCCATTCCTTTTATCAATTTTGTAGCTCGTCTCTGGACCCTCTCCAGTGCCATGATATCCTTCTTTAGAACAGGCACCCAAAATTGCACAGCATATTCAAGGTGTGGTCTTACCAGCGATTTATAAAGAGGCAGAATTATATTTTCATCCCGAGAATTTATGCCCCTATTTATACATGACAAAATCTTACTGGTCTTAGCAACTGCAGATTGACATTGCATATTGCTGCCTAATTTGTTGTCTATAACTGTAACGGACCGTTTTGCACAAAAGGGGTAAAAACCGTTTAGGCGATCGGCCCCCTTTCCAGAGATGCAGGCACAGCTACTGCAGAACACCAAACACACGAACCGCCAATAAGTGAATGCTCCAAACACCCGAACTGCATACAAGGGAATGCAGACGAACAGGAAAAGCACCCACGCGGCTTACGCTCTTGGCAATCAGTCTCTATCAGCATACAGTAAATCCCCCCAAAGACGAGACAGAGCTCCGTGTTGTGGGTCAAGCAGTGGTCTGTTTAATGAGGGCTACCTGCCCAGTATTTATGCAGGTATCCTACCTGGTGGACACTCCCCTAGGGGACCAAATGGGAGACTGTGACAAGGGACAGACAAGCAGACAAATAGGACACACAGTCACAATATATTCCCACAATGCATCCTGGCTTCCTCCCCTCTGCCCTGGGAGATAATTGAGAAGTAATTCAATTATCTCCCAAGACAAAGGCAAATCTCCATTATGCTTTTCTGCAGGCGAAACAATGTCTTTTAACAGGGGGCCATAGTCCAGAGGCAGCAGGCGAGCAACCAGGCTTCTCCAATGCAATGTGGCGAGATTGGTCTTGTCACAATAACAATTCCCAAATCCTTCTCGTGTGTGGTTATCCCTAATTCACTACCATTTAGTGTGTAAGTTGCTTGTGCATTCTTAACCCCGAAGTGCATAACTTTGCATTTCTCTATGTTAAATTTTATCTGCCATTTTAGTGCCCAGTCCCCCAATCTATCCAAATCTCTCTGCAGCAAAGCAATATCCTGCTCACATTTTATTACTTTACAAAGTTTTGTGTCATCTGCAAACACTGATACATGGCTTTCAATGCCTATTTCAAGATCATTTATAAATATGTTAAATAGAAGTGGTCCCAAAACAGAACCCTGATGGACACCACTTACCACTTTTGTCCAGCCTGAAAATTTACCATTAATTACAACTCGTTGTACTCTATCCTTAAGCCAATGTTCTACCCAAGAACAATAATATTCATCTAGACCAATTTCTTTTAGTTTGAAGACTAACCTATTGCGAGGAACCGTATCAAATGCCTTGGCAAAATCCAAATAGATCACATCCACTACAACACCCTGATCTATTCTTCTACTTACTTCTTCGTAGAATGCAATTAGGTTAGTTTGACATGACCTATGTTTCATAAAACCATGCTGATTATTGCTAATAACAAAGTTCTTCCCAATGAATTCCTGAATATTATCCCTTAATAGCAGTTCAAATATTTTCCCAGTTACAGAAGTTAAGCTCACAGGTCTATAATTTCCAGGCAAGGATTTTGAACCCTTTTTAAATATAGGAACAACATCTGCCTTCCTCCAATCCTCCGGTACAACACCTGAAACAAAAGAATCTTGAAAAATTAAATACAGAGGTTCACTTATTTCCCCACTTAGCTCCTTAAGTACTCGTGGGTGAATACCGTCAGGCCCCGGAGCTTTATTTACATTAATTTTCTTTAATAGCTGTAGCACCTTGTCTCGAGTTATCCAATCACAAGTTATTTGCAAGTTTTTTGCAGCAAACATTTGCATATCTCTTGCCATAGGATCCTCATTAATATATACTGAAGAAAAATAGTTATTTAAAATTTCTGCTTTTTCCTGGTCTTCATTAGCTAATAAACCCAACTCTGTTTCAAGTGTACCTACACTTTCATTTTTTGTTTTTTTAGAATTGATGTACTTGAAAAAAATTTGGGGTTGGTTTTGCATTCTTTAGCTATCAATTTCTCATTTTCTAGTTTAGCCACTTTAATTGCCTTTTTGCAAGCGTTATTGGCTTCCTTATATCTTAAATAGGATGCCTTTGATTTGTCTGATTTAAATGCTTTAAATGCCCTTTTCTTATTTTTAATCTCTTGTTTTACTTCTCTACTAAGCCACATTGGTTTTAATTTGTTTCTTTCATATTTATTACCCAATGGTACATACTGAGAAATGTACCTTTCTAATATTTGTTTGAATAGTTTCCATTTATCCTCAGTGTTTTTATCACTAAGGAGTTTATACCAGTCGATATGTTGTAGAGCTGCCCTAACCTTATTGAAATTGGCTTTTTTTAAATTATATGTTTTAGTATACCCCACCTGCTTTTGCTTTTTTTGAGTTTATTTCAAATTTCCCAAATGCTCCCCTACTTGAATGTTGGTTAAAAGATCAACATTGTTTGTTATGACAAGATCCAGACAAGCATCCTTTCTAGTTGGTGCTTGTACCAGTTGGTTCTTTTTCTCTTGTTCTTTTACAAGTTGTTTCTTCAGTTGGTCTGGATTCCTAAATAGTAGTCCTTCCTCATTAGGTACATGTAAAAGAACAAGAGAAAAAGAACCAACTGATATAGTAGTATATTTCAGCACTGAGTAGACCTTAAATGTTGAAAGTGTGTATGTGACCACTCAAATCTTATGGACCTTTCATGTGAAGGTCCAAATTTTCAATATAAACCCTACCTTCGAATATGTGGTTTTCACAAATTTCTCAACAGCATATATATGCATAAAAGAGAAAAGGAAAATAGAGAGCACTCTCTGTACCATTAAAAACTGAAATAAGGTGGAAATGTACTATTTTCGGAGACATAGATCAGCGTTGGTGGTACTGTTCTCACCGGGGATCAGGTGTAGGTATAGTGTGCAAAGGACCAATGATAGCAGAATAAAATAAAAACTAAAAAAAAAAAAAGAGCTGGGGTAGGTCCTGACAGCTAACCAGGACGGTCGTACGACGCTGGAGCTCCCCAGGGGAATCAACTTAAGGAGTCTAAAACCCTACACTGCTACCCTAATTTTGGGCTTCAACCCTGCATGCAACCCTGGGGAGCACCCTAGCGATTATCAATTAATGATCTGACTGCAGCTGGTCCTCACATCCCGTGCTCGATGGTCCTGTGGCATACAGCCATGCGCGAGGTGGCCGCTCCTCAGCCTTGATCTGGCATATACTCACCTAAGGGCCATCCCGGTCCCGACTGGTGTACTGGCAGGGGTACTGCCGAAAAGGCATCCAACGTACAGCTGAACCGAGGGGTTGAGGCATGCTACTCAAGATAGCCACCCTGCTGGGGCCCACAGCCGGAGGCGCCCTCCAGCAGCCGCCCTCGCTCACAGAACAACTACTCTTGAACTTCGACCGCATCTGTGCTACTTTCTGGGCCAGGCTTTATGGAAGGGGACTCACCTCTACTCCTGTGACCCAAGATAAGCCCCTCGAGGTCCACCGCAAAGCCAGAGGCAGCATAAACAGTTCTCTCCCAAGTCTTCCTGGATGGGTGCTGCGGAGGAGATGGTGCAAGAAGGCGCCAAACCGGCAACGGTCAGTACCTTACCATGCTGGCCCCCTCACTTGTTACAATGAGTCCAATACTGGGAAAGCAAACGTGTGAGCTCTCAACACAATCATCTGGCCCTGGAGGCCTGTCACTCCTGTTACTGACATCATGGGATCTGCAGATGGCGGACGCAAACCTTAGATGCAGGTCAACAGACCTACATGTGGAGGAGACTCTTATGCTGCCTGGACGCTTGGGCACAGTGGAGGGAATCCATCGAGGTGACTGACAATGATGGAGGTTGGGACTCACCCTCAACAGGAATCGGCTGACTGCTCTTCATCCCTTGCCTACGGCCTGGATAAATCACCTGTGGTTACACTTTATAACATCCCTGCATCTACTTGATGTTGTTGCCCAGTGGTTTACATACCTATGTGCCTAGCATCTTACTCATAGTTCTCAGATTTAGCATGTTTCTCTTATTGTTTTACCTACATTAGAACTGTGTTTTGGACGTTTCTTTTTCACTACAAAAAAAAAAGAAAGTGTGCAGTATCCTCACCTTCTCATGATAAGTCTTTACCACTTTACATATTGATGTTGTTCATTTACTATGAGATGCGCTTATATAAATTTGCGTGTTCCGCAATGCACAGGAAAAGTAAATAATTACAAAATAAATAAAAGCCATTTTTCCCCCCAAAAAATAAGCAAAATGTAGCAAGTACTGAGTTGATCAAGTAATGAATGTAATATTCAATAAAAACAGTGTGTAGTTAGAAAACGGTATTGGAACATAATTAAGCACATGATTAAAACATATATTAATGCTATCTAGCCAATCTGATCAATGAAAAAAAGAATAATTATATAACTATGATTTTAAAAAAAGAATACCCCAATACCCATAATATAGTGCCCTCTGGTTGTCATGGCAACACGGAATGCTTGCACACGGCCAGGCCAACTGCCATTTCTCTTTCAAGCTCTTGAGCGGTAAAGAGGTTTTATTTGTGACTGAGCGTTCACAGCGATTATTCTGTTCGTTGTGGTTTTTGTGTCATCAAAAAACCCAATAGAAGAAGAAGAAGAATTCTATCAAGAAAGAAGACTGTAAAAGAAGACAACAGCAAGAAGAGGAGCAGCAATGGACAGGACCAACGTAACTCCATTAAAGACCTTCTGGAGTTGAAGAAGAAAGATCTGCCCCCTGGAAAGAGATTGTCCCTCAGGGTGGTTCTCCAGCGTCTAAATCTACCCATTGCATATTTAATCAATGGTGTTACCATCAAAAGGGACCAATCTTCACCATATAATATCAGTGGAAAGAGATTGACCCTCAGGGTGGCTCTCCAGGGTCTAGACCTACCCATTGGTTACTTAATCAATGGTGTTACCATCAAAAGGGACCAATTTTTACAGGGACCGCTGTTAGTTGAACCGACCCATCCTAAATATCAGCAAAAAGGATCCCACCCAACGGCCGACCTGCTCGTACCCATCAACTCCCCAATTCTCATTGCCCCAAAGAATGTGAAAGAAAAGGCGAGGCAAAACCTTGAAGTCCAAGAAACACACCTGCGGGAGCACCTGGCATAACTGTGCCAGGAAGGCACCTGACACCGGCCTCCTAGAATCCACAGAATCCCGGCCTCTGCCCAGACCCTTAACCACTTGCCGCACCAGAAACTCCTTGGTCTCATCCCTCCATCCATGAAATCTAAACAGAAAGCTCAGGCCAGACAAGCACAAGGACACCGCCGAAGGTGACATGCCCGCAGTAACCCAACTCTCCAAGAGCCGCGACAGACCCTGCAATCAAGGGTCTGAGACAAGATTTCGAGGGTCTGAGACACCTCCGGTCAAGTATCAGCACAGCTGACTAACCAACACCTGGGGACCCTGCGCCAGCACACCCCGCTCCCACTGGGAAACAGCCACTGGGAAACCCCGCAATCCCAACAGAAACCCACCTAGCACAGATGCCCCAGACAACAAATGAAATTGGGACTCACTTGACGGCACCCTGGGACCAGCGTGCGGCACCAAAGTCGTAGCAGTACCTTGGGAAATGGAATCCTGAGACTGCACTGTGGTTCCCATGCTCACAGGAGCTCCACAGTCAGTGAGCCCACACCCCAGACCAGGAGGCTGCTGAAACAGGTAAGGAGAAGGGGGCCCCAGGCACAGTCCAGACAGGTGTAACTGGGCAGGGGAAGGGGAAAAAAAGAGGAGGAGGGAGAGCAGAAGAAAAGAGAGGGGAATAAAATGGAGGAGCAGAGGGAACAGGGACAGGACAGGCCCGAGACCCTGCACAGGAGGGTATGTTAGCAAGGGGGAAGGAGTGTGAGCAGCAAGAGGAAGGGGGGAAGCTGCCTGGCCCACAGACCCCGCCAGCAAAGGCAGGGGTGAACCCGGAGGTGGTTGGAGAATAGAGGGAGGGGAGCCCAAAGGCCCTGAAGCTGGGGGAGAAACCCCCTGCCCGACCCACCCCGCGTGCCACGCAGGGGCCTACTCACCACTGCCACCTGCGGGTTGGGGGACCCCGGGCGGAATCCCATGCGCCACCTGGGTTGATCACCGGGATGAAATCGGGCCACTGGACCCGTAGGGAGGGAGGGCCGCGCTTGATGCCGCTGCCCTGACACTAGGGGCAGCGGGGGAAATGCAGGCTGCACGCCACGTGGTTCCACCGCGCAGACCTGTTGCTGACTCGGGAGGACTGAGATGCCACAGGCTGAAATCACCAACAGGCCAAAACCACAGGCGGAATTTCAAACTGTTGCTGGCCCGGCTCCTAAGTGGCATTGAGATCAGCTTAATTTGTCACTACCCACTAGGCATGTGCATGGGAAAATGTTCCGGTTCGGCAATCCGAAATTCGGGACTTCGGCACTTCAGCACTTCGGAACCTCTGCACTTCGGCACTTCGACACGTCTCTTGCAGCCGTTTGGTAGATAACTCCCTAATTCCCACACGATCAGATGGTCATTGGCCTCTGGGTCTCCATCATGACTAGCCTGGGAGCGCACCAAGGGGGATGTCATCCTTTCTTGGGGGAGGGGGGGCGGCTCCGCCTCCTCGGACACACATAAACGACCAGGTTGTTGTTGAAAATTCAATAACAGTCAATGCAGGTGGTTGCGTCGTGCCGGTTTAAGCACGAATGCTCCCACTGCGGAGGTGCCCACTCGAATTTGGTGTGAGGCGGGGCCCTTTGAAGTTCCTCCACTGTCCAATTTACGCATGTCCCACTTGGGCATGGTGCCCAAGAAGGAGCCAGGGAAATTTCACCTAATTCATCATTTGATGTACCCTCATGGTCTTTCAGCCAAATTTACTAATACTAAGTAAAAATTAGGGGCATGTCTATTAACCAGTGAGCAGCCAGTGGGTCCCCCCTCCCAAGCCCCAGGGGGGCCTATTGCCCCCCCGGCCCCCACCCCTGAGCGGCGGGTGGGGGCCCTAAAGTAAAATAATGAGGGGGACCTATTGCCCTCCCCCTGTCCCCCACCCCTGAGCGGCAGGTGGGAGCCCTAAAGTAAAATAATGGGGGGGAACCTATTGTCCTCCCCTCGACCCCCACCCCTGAGCAGCGGGTGGGGGCCCTAAAGTAAAATAAAGGGGGGACCTATTGTCCCCCCCCGGCCCCCACCCCTGATTGGTGGGTGGGGACCCTAAATTAGAATGAGGGGGGACCTAATGTCCTCCCCCCTGGCCCCCACCCCTGAGCGGCGGGTGGGGGCCCTACAGTAAAATAATGGGAGGGGAACCTATTGTCCTCCCCCCAGCCCCCACCCCTGAGCGGTGGGTGGGGGCTCTAAATTAGAATGAGGGAGGAGGACCTAATGTCCTCCCCCCTGGCCCCCATACCTGAGCAGTGGGTGGGGGCCCTAAAATACTAATTAGGGGGGGACACCTAATGTCCTTCCCCTGGCCCCCACCCCTGAGCGGTGGGTGGGGGCCCTAAAATAGTAATTGGGGGGGACCTAATGTCCTCCCCCCTGGCCCCCACCCCTGAGGAGTGGGTGGGGGCCCTAAAATACTAATTAGGGGGGGGACCTAATGTCCTCCCCCCTGGCCCCCACCCCTGAGCGGTGGGTGGGGGCCCTAAATTAGAATGAGAGGGGAGGACCTAATGTCCTCCCCCCTGGCCCCACCCCTGAGCATCCCCCTGGCCCCCATCCCTGATCAGTGGGTGGGGGCCCTAAAATACTAATTAGGGGGGGACCTAATGTACTCCCCCTGGCCCCCACCCCTGAGCGGTGGCCCTAAATTAAAAAAAAAATACCCCCCCCTCCCTCGGGTGACTAGGGGCCCCCAATCCCCTAGTCACCCCCCCAAAAAAAATTAACCCCTACCTACCCCCTCACCCTAAAAATAATGAGGGGGTACCATTTAACTAAGTACCTAAAAAAAAAAAAAATTTAAAAAGAAAAATTACCATTTGATGTTTTCTTTCTTCTAAAATCTTTTTTCAGCCCCAAAAAAGGCCAAAGAAAAAGCCATAATAACCGACGCACAAAATAAATAAATGAGCGCAAAAATTTTTTTTTAAAAATCCATCTTCACTCATGGAGGGCTCTGTGCAGACTGAGCTCTACAGGGCAGGGGAAGGCTTATAAAGCCTTGTCCCGCACTGCAATTAGGCTCAGAGCACTCTGATTAGTGGGTTTAAGCCATCCAGAGTGCTCTGACAGGTAAATGAAGAGACTGACAGGTAAGTCTCTACCTTTACCTGTCACAGCATTCTGATTGGTTGGTTTGAAATCCACCAGAGTGCTCTGGGTCATTTTACACAGCGTGGGAAAGTTCTTTGGAATTTTCCCACGCTGTGTAATTTGACTCATAACACTCTGATTGGTGGATTGAAAGTAACCAATCAGAGAGTTATGAGTCAAATTACACAGCACATGTCTACTACCCATGCTAAGATTTAATGCTGTAAAAAGGTTTGGGCCATCATTTTTGACAAATCTATGAAATCTGTTGGGATTTTTTGCATTTGCTTTTCTCTTTGTTACCCTCGCCATCATTTTCTCGGCAATATAATAAATTTATCATCTTTCTGAAACATATTCCATCAGATAAGTTGTTCAGGTTCACTTTCTTTTATCCGCAACTCTAAATAAGTTTTTTTTTTTTTCTGAAACAATCATTGTTTCATTCAGTGATCTACATACCTCCCAGTTGTCCCTATTTATGAAGGACAGTCCCTATTTTGGGCCCAAATTCCTCTGTCCCTTTTTTTTAAATGTGGATTTCTGTTTATTGAAATAAATTGTCAGTTATTCAAAATGCAGTGAGACACGCAGGTCTCCAATCATAGAGATACTTCATTGCCTTACAAAATAAAAGAAAGAGAGAGAGAGAGAGAGAGAGAAAAAAACACAAGACATGCAAAAGGAGAGATGCGCAGATCTAAAAAATCATTAAGGTTTTTAAGAGACACAGGTTCTAGGTAGAGTACACCCAGATATATATATAAAAAAAACCTCTACAAAATATGCAGCATATGTAGATTTCGCCACGTGCCCCTCTACTATATTTCTTCTGAGTCTCCAGTCGGAGCAAGGAAAGAGTCAGGCCCCCGGTGTCTGGAGCAAATAACCATCTGTCCCTATTTTCTATCATAACATCCCTATTTTATAGGAACTCCATATTGTTGGTGTGCCTGTACCATTAAAAACTGGAATAAAAAGGTGGATATTTACTCATGATTTGTGAAGCAGTGGTCCTGTCCCCACCGGGGATCAGATGTAGGTATAGCAGACTATGTGCTTCCTAGGATGTGCCAGGAACCAAATAGAGCAGAATAATAAATAAATAAATAAATAAATAATAAAGAACACACACACACATATATATATATATATATATATATATATATATATATAATTTTTATTTTTTTTAACAAAAATAAAGCAAGATGTAGCAAGTACTGAGTTGATCAAGTAATGAATGTAGTCTTCAATGAAAACAGAGTGTAGTTAGCAAAATGTATTTGGGACATAATGAAGCGAGTGATTAAAACATATGTTAATGCTTACATGGCAGGGATTTGTATATTCACGTTATATCGGGAAATTAGTCCTTGTTTTAGGTTGAACTGTCTGAATAAACAGAAATGTAAGAGATATAGATGTGCCAGGAGCAGATCTGGGAGTGAAGCACCAGGAAAGTACTTCCCCCAATATGGCAGACAGGAGACAGGTACCCATGTTAAATGTGGTATAGAATCAAGCCTTCTCTTCTTTCATCTCTTCGGTAGCGAATGACATTGCGGTCATACAAGAGAAGGAGGCAAATTTCCCTAGGGCTGGCAGAGGGATATTAGACTTCACTGTAACTGCAGAGAGCAATATGTAAATCCTACAAGCTGTAAAAAAGGCAGTGCACTGGTAGCAGGAATCTGACATCATTTCCTGCAAAGGAAACTGCTACAAATACTTGTGAGATGGGTTATCCCAGTTCGAAAAGGATTCTTAAAAAAAAGAAACAGATTTTTATGACAGAATAGACTATCCTTAGGGATATAAATTACATCTCATTCATTTGTAAATATAATTTCCATAAAAATAGTTAAAGGAACACACCAAAACCACTACAACCTGCTGTAGTGGTTATGGTGCCAGGAGTGCCCAGACTCCATTCTAGTGTACACCATTTTAGATCATCATGACAACTTAAATGATAATGGATTCCCCTACTGGAGAATATGGTTAGCTCCCAAAGCTAAGCAGGGCCACACTCATTGACTGATAGTGTCAGCTAAACGCTTTGAGTCAATGAGCACAGTCCTGGATCAGTTTTGCTAAGCTGCAGAGAGACACGTGGTTTCTCTTGGAGGTGAAGTCTGGATGGGGCACATTTACCCAGGAGACCCAATCAAGCTGTCAACTGTTCTAAAGCTGTTTGAAAAATTACACAGGGATGGAACTAGTTCACACTAGACACCAAAACCACTACACCGGGCTGCAGCGACTATGGTGCTTGGAGTTCTCCTTTAATAGGTTCTACCTATTTTTTTCTGTTTTGTATTGAATGATTTGTTTACACGTTATTCATGTAAAACCCTACTAAATTAGCAACAACATTTTTCTAAATACATGTTAAGTGTCATATTATATAGAAATAGTAATATGTAATATACATAATATAAAAAAAAAAAAAAAAACAAGAACACATTTTCTTCGAAATGTTTTTTTGACAGTTTTAGTTTATATATGACAGATCAACAAGTGGGTGCCCAAGTTTGCTTAATCTGCTAATATTGAAGCCAGTCTGAACCATGAAACAAATAATAAAACTACCATGAATAATAAAAAAAAAACAATACCCATAGTATAGTACAAACCAATGGTATGGAGGCCGTCTGGTTGTCATGGCAACACGGAATGCTTGCACACGGCCAGGCCAACTGCCATTTCTCTTTCGAGCTCTTGAGCGGTAAAGAGGCTTTATTTGTGACTGAGCGTTCACAGCGATTATTCTGTTCATGGTGGTTTTTGTGTTATCAAAAAACCAATATGAGAGGCAGGAAGAAGAAGACTTCTATCAAGAAAGAAGACGGTAAAAGAAGACAACAGGGAGAAGAGGAGCAGCAATGGACAGCAGTCCAGGACCAACGTAACTCCATTAAAGACCTTCTGGAGTTGCAGAAGAAAGATCTGCCCCCTGGAAAGAGATTGTCCCTCAGGGTGGCTCTTCAGCATCTAAATCTACCCATTGAATATTTAATCAATGGTGTTACCATCAAAAGGGACCAATCTTCACCATATAAGATCACTGGAAAGAGATTGACCCTCAGGGTGGCTCTCCAGCGCCTAAACCTACCCATTGGTTATATAATCAATGGTGTTACCATCAAAAGGGACCAATCTTTAGGATATAAGATCACTGGAAAGAGATTGACCCTCAGAATGAACATCCAGCGCCTAAAACTACCCATTGGCGATTTAAACAATGGTGTGACAGTCACCAGGGACCGATCTTTCGGATTTAAGATCACTAAAACATCAAGTGACAAGACCAACTACGGCAAGAAGAGGAAGAGAGAAGACAAGAAGACGAGCAAGGAAGGTCTAATGAAGAAGAGATACAGAGGTAAGAAACACTGCAATGGATACATGGGTGGGTCTACATTTCATTCTAATGGTAAAAAGAAATTTGACTTTAAATTCAATGTATAATATTAAAGCTTCTTTGTAAAAAAGTCTCTAATATTTTTAGCTGATATTTAAAGGGGAATTGACTTGTCCCACTGTTTGTAATATTATGTTTATTATCCCCAATACCTAACACAAATATGTTTGTGAGGTATGAACATTACACCTTCAAGTACACCCCTAAAATTGTAGCGTCACTCTTTGTCTATGTGAAATGTTGGGAGGTATGGGTCTAGAACTAACAAGGCCCTGGTTACAGGTGGGCTTAATGGCTCAATGATTGGATGCAGCACTGTAATAGACCAATTGTAAAATGTGTTAGTATTATTTGGCCTTGGATCCATTCAGAACTGAGCCTGGTGAGGAAGTTTGATGTTGATCTTTTAATTTAGAAGGTATTCAATTTAGGTACACACTCCCCAAACACTGCTTTTCATTGTTATCTGCTCAATACATAAACATGACTGAGTTATAAAGATGGTATTTAACTTTTCACCAAACTGGGTTATTAAAACAAAATAAAAAATTGTTGTGAAATTAAATATGAATAGAAAATGTAGATATGCTAATATTTATTTATTTTAAAGAAGTCTTTTTTTTAATTAATATTTGCTGCATATTTTTGCACTTTATACATTATGGAGCTATTTACATAGTTTTGCCAGGTACCTGACTGGCGCTAATGCTGATTCTGGTCCGAACTAATTTTTTAAGACAAAAATTCATACTAAAGGGCTCTCATATAACATCCAAACTTGGTATGAGTTGTTATCAGAGTCGAAGTATGTCACTTAAGCATATCAGATAAGACCAAAAGCAGCATAGGTACCCGACCATTTGTAGACAAGTGACAGTTAACTGGCTTAACATATGAGGGGTCTCATGGCACCATAACCACTACAGGTTAATAGTAGTTGTGGTGCTTAAACTATACCTTAAAGGATGAACCCAGGGGTGGCCCCAGGGCATCAGGTTGTAAAACCTAGCAACGTTCCTGCACGAGCCAAAATATTTCAAACATTTTCTATTCAGTTTTCATGATGTGAAAAAATTATTGGTGATGATACAGTAAACTAATAATGAGAAAATGGAAATGATATTTCAGTTTTGAATAACTTTTATGTGGACATAAAAAAGCACCCCCTCCTCAGCTGCTTTGATACTGTAGAATTTACACTTCTTCACTATTAAAATCAATTCAGTCTAATCTGGACAATCTAATCTAACCTGAGAGGGTTTAAACCAACCAACCAGCCCAGGACATTTTCAGCCTATCACTACTTTGTCGTTAATAGAGACAATTCACATATCACAGAATATTTAATTAAAAAAAAATAAAAAAATAAAAAATTGTCAACAACCCATTTTATATAATGTTTTACATACATGATCTATTTTTAATCAAGCAGGAGGAACCAGCGTCCATCAAGAGGATCCCAGACCGTCATCAGCGGCCTGTATTTTGTTGGAGAGATTGACATTCCATAAAGTGCTTGGACAAGGCAGCTATGAAAAGATATGTAATGTTGCAGTGAGTTCCCAAATGCGTCATAAAATGTAAACTAAAATAATAAAGTGTGGGTATTTTGGAGGTTCTAAAATGAGCTAAACATTGGGAAGATGAGGATGATTTGATGATTATGGGATAGTTAGTGTGGCAAACGTAACCTCGCTACGGGCTCCTCGAGGAGCCTGCTTGCCAGCCTCCTTCCTCAGGACTATGGGTCCTGCAGAAAATACTGTAAAATACATTTTAAATGGCTTGGTTTGTGTAATTTCCTTATACCCTTCGGGAACCACACAACCCAGGGACCACCCGTGACCTTGTTAAGCCCAACTGACACCTTGTAGCGATTTCCACCTCAGTGTTCTTATTGTTCGTCTGGGTGGCCGCCGTTTGTATGAACGACCACGAGGTGGCGGCCATCTTGTTCCCGCGAACGCCAGCAGTGGTGTTTGGGTGTCGAGCTCCTGGACCTAAAAATCGGACACTGAAACTCCCAAACACTGGACATAATATATAGATTCATTGCTATTATCTATAAATGACACTATATTATACATGGCTGTAATACCAAAGGTGAGGGAGCAAAACGCAGCTTTGCAGCCAAGAACCCGTGGATCAGCTCTTCTCACTGTCTGTAGAGATATTACGGTTTCTGTATAAAGAAACACTAAGATATGACTTCCTTAAACTGCGGAGCAGCCAGGGAGCGGAGAGTTTAGAATCAGAAATTTAGAAAATATTTCCTCACAGACCACATTACTACACTGTGTACAGGGCTGGTGGATAAAACTAAATTTTTGGTTAGAAGATGTGTTTTAGAAAGTTAGTCTACGAATATGGCAAAAATCACAGCTCTCTATGTGTAGAACATACTTACTTCTAGAATCGATGGTCTCAGATATCCAAATGATGAAACAAATAATGAAAAGAAACTACAAAAAGAAAAACAGAACAGTCTTCAAGGTTGCACTGTCTGCCACAAACATTCTGAATGAATGAAATGAAAAGGACAGACTAGGAGTGATGTCATCTGTAGTACCATGACATCATCACTGCTGCACAAAGCAAATAATTAATGAAGTCATGATGCAAGGAGAGAGGCATAAAGCTGCAGCTAACACAGAGTAAAGGGGGTTAACCCTTTCATGGCCATGGCTTTTCTAAGATTGTGTTTGTGACAAATGGCTTTCTAGAAAATGTTCTAAATGTTAGTTCCACTGTAATTTAACTATTGCAGCCATACATTTTATATATCATTTTTACAGGACAGATAGGAATTTCTTCTAATGCCCACTATGTATATGTAACACAATAAGTAGGAATAAAATATTTAAAAAACTAGAAAAAAATATATATCAATTTTTCGCAGTTTTGATGATAACTACTTTATATGAAATTAAAGAAAAATAATAGTCCTGATTGTTGAAATTCCTCATATGTGTAGGATTTCAGTAAATCTTTGGAAGGTCTAAGTCAAATATTTCAAGGAGTGAATTAGTGTCAAACACTGGCGTACATACTGCAGTCGCAGGGGTCGCAGCTGCGGACCCCTGTGACCGGGTACCCGCCATCATTTTTTGCGTTCCCGGCCCACGTGGCAAACCGCCGGGGCCGCCGTCCATCGGGTGGCCCATGTTGTCAGGGCCACCCGATGGATATGGATTGTAACGGGGCCCAGTCAGCGCTGGGCGTGTTAACAGCGCGACCGGGCCTCCTGTGATTACATCACAAGCTGGGAGGAAGTGACTGCATGTCACTCCTCCCAGCTATTACTGCCCGCGCAGGAGTTAGACCAGAGAGTCCACCTGAGCCACCACTGGACCCCAGTCACCCTCCTGCACCTAAAAGGTAAGAAACAGGAGGGTGACTTAAATATTGTGTGTGTGTGTTTGCCTGTATATATGTGTGCCTGTTTGTATGTATGTCTTTGTATGTATGTGTGTTTGTATGTATGTATGCCTGACTGCATGTGTGTGTGTGTGTCTGTCTGTCTGTGTCTGCCTGTGCGTATGTGTGCCTGTCTGCTTGCATGTATGTGTCTTTGTTTGTATGTGTGTGTCTGTATGTCGGTCTGTATGTATGTGTCTGTGTGTGACTGTCTGTACGTATGTGTGTGTGAGTGTGTCTGTCGGGGGGAAGGAGGGAATAGTGAGGGGGGTAGAGGGAGAATAGGTGGGGGGCCCACGGATCAGTTTCGCACCCGGGCCCCATAGATTGTGTGTACGCCACTGGTGTCAACAAAGCACATATTGCAAAGGTTTAGCCTTAGATTCCGGTCAGGGTTATTTTATAAATTCAGTGAATTTCAAATATCAGACCAAAAAAAATAAAAAAATGAAAAAATAAAAAAAGTAGTTTTCCAGATTGGCTACTTTACCTAAAGTTTGAAATTCACTTTTAATTCTCACTTTAGTGAATGAATGTATAGCTCAAATTGCATTCACAAAATCCAAAACTGCTGCACAAAAGTATATATTTGTATATAGTAGATTCCCAATGTATTTAACTAAGATCATTTTGGCGCTTTTTTGGTTTAACCATTTTACCACCAACTTCTGCCAAATCTGCTGTTCATTTCTAGGGATGTGCATGGGCAAAAAATTTGTTTGGTTTGGCACTTCCGAAATTCGGGACTTCTGCAATTCCCTAACCCTACTCCTAACCTCAACCCTACTAGGGGGTAGGGGTAGGATTAGATTCATGTCATCATTCCCTTAATTTTCCCTCCCTCTCCTGTTTTGCCACTTTTCAGAAATGTGACGCACTTCTGCACTTCCAAAATTCTGCACTTCTGCAATTTGGTTCGGCACTTCGGAAATTCATGCTCCACCCCAGCTCAGACAGGGTTAAAAAAAGATTTGAACATTTACCTGATTCCAGCGCCTATCTCCCTTAGCGCGATTTCCTTTGACGCATTAGAACCCTCCCCATAGGAAAACAGTTTCAATGCTTTCCTATAGGGATTTTACTGATGCTGGATGTCCTCATGCAGACCAAAAGTCATTTAGCCACCAGGAAGTGCATCTGGTGGCTGTCTAATTGACAGCCGCTAGAGGCAGTCTTAGTCCTGCAATATAATTATTGCAGTTTCTCAAACACTGCAATGATTTACATTGCAGGACTTAGTGGTAATGGGACACTGCTGAAGTGATCTGGAAGCATTGTCTCTGTCCCCTTAGCAGTTTACAATGCAGAGTTTAGACTGCCTCTAGTTGCTGTCTCCAAGACAGCCACAATAGGCACTTCCTCCATTTACACACTTTGCATATGTACGTTCAGTGTCCTCATAACAGATTCAATGCTTTCCTATGAGAAAGGCCTAGTGCGCACACAATAGCTACTCCCCAATGCGAAATGTCTTTGGCACTGGAAAGAGTTAAGAGTTTAAATTTTTTTTTAATCCATTCAACACTTGGGGGAGGATTATGGCTGAGGGATACTACAACGTTAGGAATACAAGAGTGTATTCCCAACGCAATAGTGTTCCTTTAATTTACAATGAATGTGTTGAGAAATCAGTCTTTTGTAATATGTTTTTCAAAAATATTGTTCAATAAAAATAATTTGATAATAAACCAGTCTGTGTAAATAAGGTACATTGTTCTTGCTCTTAATTATATTTGAATTGCATAAATTAATATGGCAAGTCACCTAAAATTGGGCTGTGGTGGGTGCAAGAGGCGATAGTATTTCCATCTAACACATGTATCTGTCAGGGTTCTTACCTGAGATGGGAGTCTGTAGCGCAGATAGTTTGCTCACCCTTGCAGATAGAAACAGTCCAAGGTGACCAGATAAGAAGCCACCTGGACTGTGAATCTGTCCAATCACCAAATCCTGTCGCTTCCATCTTAAAAACATAGCGCGCATCCGACCCTATTAACACTGCATGCGACTGTTCTCTCTTGCCTTGACTACTACCCTTCTCAGTGGTCTTATGCGTTCCCAGATTGCACAAGGTATAATGAATGCGGCGGCGACGCTCATTTTCCTGTCCGCTCGCACCTCCCACGCCTGCCTGCTCTGTCAGTCCCTGCATTGGCTTCCAGTTAGATATAGGGCTCAATTTAAAATTCTGGTGCTTGCTTACAAGTCCCTACATAATGCTGCTCCAACCTACCTATCCTCCCTAATACACAAGTATGTCCCATCGAGGCCCCTGCCAAAGACCTACGTATATCCTCTGTCCATACTCCCACCTCTAATGTTTGCCTCCAAGATTTCTCCAGGGCTGCACCTCCTCTGTGGAAATCCCTTCTCCGTAAGACTTTTACCCAGTCTCTATTCATTCAAAAAATCTTTGAAAACTCACTTATTCAAGAAAGCATATCAATTGAACTGTTAGCAGGTTTTTATCCCCCACACCCCATGACTCCTCCAACTGTCAAAAATTACCTACTAAGCCCTTAGTGAATACTTTTCTAACAACCTACTTCGTACCCCTACTTTTACCCTTTGTGTCAGTGGCGTACACATGACCCATGGGGCCCCGGTGCGAAAATTGATCCGTGGCCCCCCCCCCCGCGCGCGGGCCGGGCTGCAACACATGGCGGTGGGCACCTGGTCGCAGGGGTTACAGGGCTGCGACCCCTGCGACCGCGGTATGTACGCCAGTGCATGCAGATGCACACACACTTAAAGGACCACTCTAGGCACCCAGACCACTTCAGCTTAATGAAGTGGTCTGGGTGCCAGGTCGAGCTAGGGTTAACACATTTTTTCATAAACATAGCAGTTTCAGAGAAACTGCTGTGTTTATGAATGGGTTAAGCCTTCCCCTATTTCCTCTAGTGGCTGTCCCATTGACAGCCGCTAGAGGCGCTTGCGTGCTTCTCACTGTGATTTTCACAGTGAGAGCACGCCAGCGTCCATAGGAAAGCATTATGAATGCTTTCCTATGTGACCGGCTGAATGCGTGCACAGCTCTTGCCGCGCGTGCGCATACAGCCGACGGGGAGGAGAAGAGGAGGATCGGAGGAGGAGAGCTCTCCGCCCAGCGGTGGAAAAAGGTAAGTTTTACCCCTTTCCAGAGCCGGGCGGGAGGGGGTCCCTGAGGGTGGGGGCACCCTCAGGGCACTATAGTGCCAGGAAAACGAGTATGTTTTCCTGGCACTATAGTGGTCCTTTAAAGGACCACTACAGACACCCAGATCACATCAGCTCAATGAAGTTGTCTGGGTGTCAGGTCCCTCTAGTTTTAACCCTGCAGCTGAAAACATAGCAGTTTCAGAGAAACTGCTATGTTTCACTGAGGGTTAATCCAGCCTCTAGTGGCTGTCTCACGGACAGCCGCTAGAGGAGCACACTGAACGTCCATAGGAAAGCATTGAGTAATGCTTTCCTATGGGCGGTTTGAATGCGTGCGCGGTCGCATTCGGAGCTGAGAGGCTGAGGGAGGGAGTCCGGCGCTGGAGAAAGGTAAGTGCTGAAGACACACACACTCTCACTTACAGACGCATACACACTAGCTAACAGACACACACATTTACTGACAGAGATACAGTCAGCGACAGACATACATACACACTCACTTACAAAACATACACTCTCATTGACAAACACACACTCACTAACAGACATCAAACAGACTCACTAACACACACACAGTAAGACACACACAGTAACACACTCACTGACACTCACTAGCAGACACACACACTAACACTCACTCTAACACTCACACATGATTTTTTTTTTTTTAATATAATCCCCCCAGCCTCCTTACCTCTTGGAGTGCTGGGGAGGATTATTCCCTGGGGTCCAGTGGGGCTCCTGGGCGGGTGGCCGGTCAGGCAGGCAGGCGGGCGCGCGAGGGAGCAATCAGTGCTTCCTCTTCAGCTCCCTCGCGCGCCGCGTAGGGATGCCGGCGCCGGAAGATGACGTCATCTTCCGGCTCCGGTATCATTGCGGTGCGCGAGGGAGCTGAAGAGGAAGCACTGATTGCTCCCTCGCGCGCCCGCCTGCCTGCCTGACCGGCCACCCAGGGTCAGCAGGGCCAGCCTCAGGGGGGCCCTGCGGTGGTCGGCTCCTGGGCCCCCCAGGGGAAGAGGCTGGCCCTGTGGCTACATACCGGGTCGCAGGGGCGGCCGGGCCCCCTGGTGGGCCGGGCCCGGTCGTAGTCGCGACCCCTGCGACCCTGGTATGTACGCCAGTGCTTTGTGTCACTCTACCCCACTCCCTCTAGAATGTAAGCTCATTAAGCAGGGCCCTCAACCCCTCTGTTCCTGTACGTCCAGTTGTCTGGTTACAATTACATGCCTGTTAGTCCACCCATTGTACAGCGTTACGGAATCTGGCGCTATATAAATAATACAATAATAATAATAATAGGAGACCAGCTGGCCCAGTGTCTGACCTTGGATCAGTTGGTTGTATGAAGAAGCCAGTGAACATCATGGATGCTATGAAACTCTACAATATGAACAAATGAGAGACTAGGAAGGAGATGTTTATGTCAGCTGACTGCTAGGCTCGATGGATTTTTAAAAATGTATTTATTACTGGTATTTATAAAGCGCCATACATATTCTGCAGCGCTGTACAATTGGGGAAAAGACAATACAATAAGAACAGACCGATACAACAGGTGGAGGGCCCTGCCCGTGAGCTTACAATCTAAAGGTGTATTCTCAAACATTCAAAAACTGTCCAGCACTGATTTAAAACAGCAGGATTGGATCTAGATCAAATCTGAATTATGGCTGAATAGTGCACTTAGTAAGTCCAATAAAATAAAATAAATAAATCTAAGCCGAAGTAATGCTTACTTCACGTTTTCGGTTGATGGTGAGTTTGTGCAATTACCCACGTTTGGATCCAACGCAAGGGTCTGATCCTCCATTGTGCATGATAGTTTGGAGTGGTACTACTATATAATTGTGAGTTCAATTCTTAAAGAGTACCACACAATAGACTGTTATTTGACAATATTGCACTAGGTCTGTGTTATATTTTTATATTTTAGATCAGTGAGACCTACTATAAAGGAAGAGTTTAAGTATATATTTGTGTGCCACATAATTCTATTTTATCACAGTGTGGCTTTCACCTTGGTTGGAGTTAACCCTGCAATGTAAATATTGCTGTTTATGAAAACTGCAATAATTACACTTGCAGGGTTAAGGGTAGTGGGAGTTGCCGCCCAGACCACTCCACTATAATTTAAATATTATAGTCATTTCAAATGTCACTTTAGCTTAGTGAGTAACTGTGGAAGAGTAAAATGATATAAGACCTGAAACAATGAGTGGAAGATATATCCAAGCTGTGATATAAGACCTGAAAATTTCGTTAATAGCTAGTTAGGTGTAAATTCCCAGTCTGTTGTTAATTCCCATCTGATTGCCAGCTCCCGGCTGATTGGATAAAGCCGCAGCATGTGTTAGCACTGAGTAGTATTCGCTGTCCCTTGCCCTCTCCGTTCTTTCAAATAGCCAGGGTATACTAATCGACCAACCACATGCGGCGCACACTGTGATCGCGGCATTCTGCTCTCGGCGATCGATTACTAACAACTGGCCCGTTCTCTCCTGGCTCCTTCTCGCGAGACCTACAAAGATCCCATATCGCCCCGCGAGCACTTCCCCCTCCCTCTTTCCGCCATACTGCAGACCCGGTAAGTAATGTCTGTGCCCGGGCCTGTCTGTAATCCGCCTCCTATCCCGGCCATCCGAGCTCTGAGCGCTGTGTGAGCGGGTGCTTCTCACAGGGCAGAGTGGGCTCTCTCCGGTAAGCTGACTATGGGGGAGGCTGGGTCGGTAACTGGCGGGGAGATCGGACGGGAAGCCTGGGGCCGGTCCCTCCTGTCTCCTGCCTGACTCTGGGGGTGTAATTCCGTGCTGTGTGAGCCAGGAGCCCGGGCAGCCCATGGCGTGAGGACAGGTTCTCCATAGTCAGTAACCGGGGCAGGTTACTAGGGCTGGCCTGGCTCAGAACATTAGTACTGCTGGTGGGAGCCTGGGATCCTAATGGCTGCCAGTCTGTAATAAGAGGGGTCATGGTGCTGGCCTTCCAGGCTATAGGGTACCGGGCAATTCATACTGTTCAATAACTCTCTCAATAACTATACGCATAACTGTACAAGTTTGAAAGTGACGTGACATTGAGGACAATTATTTGGTGCAAAATAAAAATTAAAAAAATCCAATTTATTTACCTCCTTTTGTAACTTTATGTTCGGTGCTTGGTGGTGAAAATTCTTGTTTTGTGCAGTAAAACAGAATGGGCCTAATCTGTGATATTAAATTCTTAGTATAATTCTAATAGTGCATGGGTGATAGAGTGGTCCTATTTTGTTTGAATACAAAATATACATGGCAGTTCTATGCCATGAATTGGAATATTGCTGTTCAGTGGTGGCCTGTCATGTTGTGTTCTACCTTTTTTATGTTGATGGAATTCTAAATGTGTTTCTCTCATAGTGTAAGCATCAGTTTTAAATCCCTCAGGATTTGGATAGATTTATTTCCTTTGTCAGAAGTTTGCAGTGTTTTTTAATTTGGAGTTATGAGCTTTTACATAGAAGCGTCCATTTTAGCTATAGTTGGATGAACTGTGTATAAAGATTTCTAATGGAATATAAATGAAATATTTGGTTAGACACACATTGTATGTGTAATAGTACACTGCTCTCCAGGAAGTAAGCTGTAATGCCTTATAAATGCTTACTAATAAAGACTATGCCTAGATGCAAGATCGTCAATTTATAGTAGGTTAACGGCACTAAAGGATTGTAGACCTGCTGGTATTCAGTTTGTGCTGAAGTATCTGAAATCTGTTCAGCTATGGTGTAGATCTGTTAGATTTGATGTTGTAGAGCACTGATCACTGTGACACTCTACTTTGGTTAAGGGTTATCTTCTGTAACTTATTTCCACTCTATTGTATGGGTTTAAAATGTGTTGAGGATATAACTTTACAGCTTCTTCTTGGGAAAATATAAAAATAATTATATTTGGCTGGGAATGTTAAAAAAAAAATAAGTTTTTTTCCTTATACAAGGCTACATTTTAATTTTATTTTTCCTTCCCCCTCTATTGTAGGCACCATGGTGCGCATGAACGTTCTTGCAGATGCCCTTAAAAGCATTAACAATGCAGAGAAACGTGGCAAGCGCCAGGTCCTCATCAGACCGTGCTCAAAAGTGATTGTGCGATTCTTAACAGTGATGATGAAGCATGGTAAGTAGGGAAAAAAAACTCAAATTTCTTTCTAACTTTGTCCCCAGCTACCTTAGTGCACTTTATTCCTCTATATTGTTGGCTTGACAGGTTGTCACTTTGTACAAACCTTCGGTTTACTACTGTAGACGTGGTTCTCTATTCTGTCTAATCCCTGTGGCTACCAAATGTAAATGGTATGTTCTAGTTGTTACCAGCAATAACATACCATGCACATTTTAAGGGACAGTATAGTCACTCAGAAATTGCAATGTTTACTTCCTGACTGTTCTAGAGTTGCTTCTTCTTTTTGACAGTAAAATTTGCTCTCTGAATAAAATGCTGCTGTTGGCAACATTGGATTAGAGGAGTGTGGCATTTGGCTATGCATCTTCAATTGTTTTGGATTTGATTTTTACTTTCCTCCTTTGCTCTACTCCGTTCTAGTAAGCCGTTCCCCAGCATTTATTGGGCATCAGGAAACTAGAAATTGACACTCAGATGTGACTCTTCCCACTTTAAGCAAGCAGCCTATGGATTTAATATAAGACTTATTTTTTTTTTGCCCAATCTGTAACAATATGAAATGTCTTATGGTCTGGGTAATGGCTAGCTCTGCAACAGTAGGACTCTTAAATCTTAAACTTGGTGTCCTGTATGTATTAAAGACGGTTAACACATTTGCAAGTCAAATTTAATCTGTATCTTTGTCTTTTAGGTTACATTGGAGAGTTTGAAATTATTGATGACCATAGAGCCGGAAAAATAGTTGTAAATCTTACAGGCAGACTTAACAAGGTGAGTGTTCTGATGTGGGATGGTACAAGATAGATTCAGTCTCCCAAGGGTGCCCATAATGTTTTAGAGATGCAGAGTGAAATTGATTGCAATAGTTTTAATATATAACCCATTAAGTTTTTAATTAAAAGGGCACTGTGACTGCTCAGTCTCATTGACGTGCCTATATCTGACATGTAGCCATGGCTCCATATTATCTACTTGTGCATTTTCAATATAACCCTTTATGAAAACCATTTTCTGTCAGAGTTCAGTTTTCTGATATACTGTAATGCTTAATGAACTGGTTTAAAATTTTGCAATATTTGCAAACAAATTGTCAGCAAATCTCAAAGTGAAATATTTACCCTTTCCCAGTCAAGCCATCAAGTAGCACAGGTTTGAAAGTGTGGGAACATGCTTGGTTCCTAAAAATGACACTTTTATCCTTTGTTTGAAATATTCTATATAAAGGTTTTACATTTTGAATTTTATGTAACAAAATGTAATTCTCTTTAATTTTTTTTTTTAATATGGTTAAATGTCTATATAAACATCTGAGCAATAAACTTACCAGTATACTGGCACTTTAGATATCGTAAAAGGTGCTGTGTACTTTTGAGGGTTTATGTGGTTCCTGCCCCTGTAGAACATACAACAACCAGCGTCTCATTGTGTTGTGGTACTGCTGACACAAATGGTTTTATGTGCAACTATTCATATGTTTACTTGTGATAAAACATGAAATTTCCTTGCAGTGTGGTGTCATCAGCCCCAGATTTGATGTCCAGTTGAAGGATTTGGAGAAATGGCAAAACAATCTCCTCCCATCACGTCAGTTTGGGTAAGTTCTTGATAAAGTCACTCCTCCCATCAAATGCTCTGTTTTCTGGGACACATCACTTATACACGTTAATGGACACCATACAGAAAGTGCTGTCCTGCAGTATGTATAAATGAATCAATCGGGAGTCCTGCAGCATATACTTTATCCATAATACAGGTCAGCATTTTCATGTGCTGCTGATCGGCATGATGAAACTGTGTCCAAAAAAACATGGATATGAGCAATGTTTGGTTTTTAATTTGGAGTCAATAGCACCTAGTTGTGTGGTTTTTTTTCCTTCATTGAAGGCTTAAAACAGGGCTGCTGCGCCCAGGCCACTTGATTGAGATAAAGTGGACAGGGTAGGGTGTCTTTATTGGTCCTTTAAACTCAAATATGCATGTCCTTTGTTGACTGATATCAAATGCCTGCTGCTGCAGAAACCAGGATGTAGCTGAGATTGTGGTCATCCTTTTGCAAGTACTCAATGTGTCTGGCAAACCCTTATGGAATATATGAAGTAATGAAGGGAAGTTGAACTGTATGAAATTACACTTGTGTTTTCTTTTGAGTGCAAAAACATTTCTTTAAATAACTGGAGTCCAACAAGGAATCACAATCATGCATGCTTGTGCTTCTCAAAATCTGACAGAGAAGCTGCATTGTCTCCAATAAAACACAACAAATTCTGTGTGGCTAGGCTTTTTTTTTTTTATAAATAAACGTTGAGGACAGCAGTTGCTGAAGATTAGAATTATTTTTTTTTTGTATTGCGCTTTCCACTTTTGTTATTACTCACTGTACAGCTGACTAATATATTGCTGTTTTTGAGATGTGCATCTCCCATAGTCCTCTAGGTTTTATTAAAAGTTGCCTAAATTCTTGAGTATCTCTAGTCTTTATGAGGCTAGAGCTTCCATTAGCTATCATTGAGTAAGTAGTTGAGCTTTCATCTTACCCAGGGATCGCCAGGGCACTCCTGGCACCATAAGTGCTGCAGTGTAGTGGTTGTGGTGCTTTGAGGTTTTGTTTTTTAATATGCATTAATTTGTTTGGCTTGCCAGTTGTAGTGTATTCACCAGATGTAATGATGTACATCTTCATTTTGGCACAACAAGCTTAATTTGTTTCTAGAGTGGTTGGCTTTCTCTTGCTATATTTGGGCTTATCCTAACATACTATGTGTAATTTTAACTTTACAATAAAAAATACCAATCTTTTGGATTATTGAATATTTCATTTACACACTTAACATACTTTGTATGTCTGGCAGTGTTTTGTTTTTAAGAGGTAGAAATTGAATTAAAAAAAAATTAGCACAGACACTATTCTCTCTCAACTTTCGGTTGGTGTAATTGTCCTGTTATTGAATGAAAGTCTCTACAAGCTTGGTGTATTGTAGAAAACATAGGAACAATCGGCTTCATGGTTTTTAATCGGTTATGAAGGCTAGAAGACACATTCCAATTAACCAGCTATAGGAAATACATGAAAGCATTTTAAATCTTTTTGCACTTTCTTTATTAAAATTTTCTGAGTATAAATCAAATTAATAAAGCATTTGTACCTACTGCACAATGTTACCTTTTTTGTAGAAGACAAATGTCTTAAGTGTTTAACATAAATAACACAAATAAAAGGGGGGGTAAATCTAAATAGTGTATAGATTGTATAGTAGGCAGGAAGAACTGGGAGGATTGTCTATAGAAAGTCTCTATATGGCCCTAACTCATCCTGAGCCTATCCTTCACCTTACCCTAAGAGCTCTCCCTACCCTAACCCTGCCTTTATCTCAATGACAGATTCCATACTCCTCTCCCCATTTAAAGCCCTCCACCCTTATTTTAAAACTAATCTGCCTAGGTAGAGTTCTATGAAATTCAAATGGTAACTTAGTGTAATGTAAATTCTAGTATTTTCATAATTTAGTCTGTTCAGTAATCCTTAACTAGCATTTGTTTTGTTAAACAGTCTTTTTAAGTATTCAATATTACTCTTCTATCTTGTGTTAACTGTACATATTATGGACTGTCTTTCAGATACATTGTGCTAACCACTTCAGCTGGCATTATGGACCATGAGGAAGCAAGGCGAAAACACACAGGAGGCAAAATCCTGGGATTCTTTTTCTAACTCTGTGCAACAGACAGGCCAATAAACTGTTATCAGAAAAACTGACTTGTCACTTTTTTTTATGGATTCAAACTTGATTGTAATAAGCAATCTGCCACAAATTGGGCAGCAAACTAATTTTAATATCCATGTCTCTTGGCTAGTTATGTTGGGTTTAGCAGTCGGGGTAGTATTGGACATATTTAACCTGCTTAGATTAATTCTCAAGATTGTTAAACTGAACATTGATCCTTAAAGGGTTAGTTTACTATGTAAATGTGGAAGAACATAGACTGGCTTTTTTTATTTTATTTTAAAAATGATTTTTTTTTAAATATTTTTAGGAAAGGTCTTTTGGTAGACTTGACATAAAATTACATTTTGTTCGAGAGCTATAAAAACTAGTCAGGGTAGTCTAACAACATTAAGTGTAATACTGAGCAGGTTAACTGTAAATTCCCCCCAATTTTTTTTTTTTGTGTGTAATAAACACAATAGTCTGAGCAAAAATGTTTAAAGGGATCCTATAGTGCCAGGAAAAGAAAGCAGTGCTCATTAGACCTCCCAAAGGAAAGCATTATTCAGTGCTTTCCTATGGGGAAAATCTGGCGCTGGAGGTCCGTAAGAACGTCCAGCATCGGATAACTGACCAAAAATCTGTTTAGATTCTGGAAGCTGTCTGTTGGCTACAAAGATTAGACTTAGAGCTGCAATGCTTAACATTGCACTGCACAGTGCAAAAGTGTCACAGCCCCCAGACTACTGCAATAAACCGAAGTGGTCTGGTTGCCTAGTGTCCCCTAAAATGCTATGCATAACTTACACCTATTTTTCACAGAATATGATGTTGTGTATCAAGTTTGAGCGCTCTACTCACCTTACTTTGTGTGGTTTATCACCTAAACAAAGGGGTAGGCAGCCTTCTAGTTGTACTGTGCCAGAACTAGACTTTGAAGTCCCTTGGTGTGTCAATCCTATTTTAACTTTTTTTTTTTTTTGTTTGTCATATTCTGCTTGTTTATGGGGGCTACAGTTGCTTTTACAGCATTGTTTGTGGGCTGTTGTACAGTATATGTTCATGAGTAGTCTGTGTACGTACAAATTTGGGATGTTTGTGTAACTGGATAATGTAACGTGTTGAGATGGTTGTGTGCTTGTTTGTGTGTATGTGGATTAGTCAGTAGTGTTGAGGAATGTAAGGAGGGGGGGGGGGAGGATTCTTCTGAAAGTTAAAAGATGGGGTTTGAGAGGATGGGTAGGAAAAGTGCATCCAAGACCCAAGTTGCATCAAGTGCTAACATTCCACAGTTCAAATATACTGTAATGTTACAAAAGCATGGAACAGTGTTAAATAAGCCTGGGTTTCAGTATCTTTAGCTAGGTTTATTTTTAGGAAAATATTGGATTGGACAAATAAAACTGTGTATGTGTGTCTCCAAAGGAAAAGGTTAACTGTGTGCTCTCCTTAATCCCTATATATAGTTAGACAAATGGAGGACATTTAGTTGTCTAAATCTAGCCTCAGTGTAGGACCTGCTTGAGGGGAGGGGTCTGCCTTGACGTTGGCAGGTGGGCATTCCCTCCAATGGCCATTGGAGTAACTAAAAGACCTACATTTGTCTATACATAGGGTTTAAGGAGAGAGCACAGGTATCTTCCCCCCCCCTCCCCCCTTTGGTTTTTATACACAGGCCAGTTGCCTGGGGGTGGCCTGCAGATAAGTTCGCGTCTAACAGGGACAGCTAAATATTTTCTGCCTTCTTTTGAGACACTGTAAATGTGGCGATGGACTTATGTTTGTAGTTAGTATGAAGTATTGATGTATAAAGCATGCACCCAGCATTTTGTGAAGTGTGTGTGTGTATATATAAACTCTTGTAAAACCTGCACTTCAGAAACCTCTGCAAGTCCTCACCTTTTTTTCCCCCTCCAGACTTTTTGTCGCTGTCCAATGAGACTTCCCAATGCAGCTCAATAAATTAGTCTTTGTGAGGCAGGTGCTCTGGACAATTGCCTGCTTGTTGAGTTTAGTTCACTGAGCTAACATAACCAGGAAGTAACTTGATTGATAAACATGGTTACACCCACCTGGCTGTCTATAAGTCATTATTTTTTAAAATCTGCACTTTATTAAAAATGAGAGGAAAACAACTTTTCAGGAAAAATAAACTGCTTTAGGTGTCTGGAGTGTCCCTTTTTAAGTTGCTGGTTCAATAGTCCTGTTATTTTAACACTGCAATGTGAAACTAAACAGGTTAAATCCACCCCCTAGTATGTCATACTAATAGCCACTAGAGTTGCTCACGCTGCACTGATAGAATAAAACACTCAAGTTCCATGGAAGCTCAAAATAAAGCATTGAACTCCGTCTGCATCTGCTTGTACCATCAGCGGAGGAAGCCATGCCCACTTGAAAGTGCGGGAGAGGTAAATGGTGCTGAGGGAGTCCACAGAAGGTTTCAACCCAATTAGTCATATAACTAATCCTGAAGAGTTTATACTTGAACTAAAATGTAGAAAAATTATTCCTTAACCATGTACATTGAATTCATTTTTCAACAGTAATCTGCACTGTTATGAATTAAATTTATGAACACCACCCTGGCAGTAAAGATGATAACCAGGATGACTTCTAATTCTGATTGAACAATTGTTCAAAAGGATAGTAATCTGTATTTGTAAAATATTTGGTGTGCTTGGCATTTAAAGGAGCACTACAAGCGAGTGACCTGGGATGACCCTTACCCTGGTTGTGATTTAGTGACAAAATTAAAATGGTGAAAGTACTGTGCAGAAGATCAAATCAGGCCGTACCAACAACTCTTCATCTTCCATGATTCAGGAAGAGAAATGTGGCAGAAATGGCCAGTGTCAGCCTAAAACAAAACATTGCTCTGGTTTTGAAGCCTTAATCAATTCCTCCCTCATATCCATTGGAGAAAAGAACCGTTTTGATGGGGTGAATGGGATTAGAGGAAATAGGCATTCCTTGGTTCTGTCATCATTGATCTAGAAAAGGCTTAGGCACTCCAGATGTAGACTACATCTCCCCCGATGCTTTGACAGCATCAACGCTGTAAGAGCATTATGCGATAAATAGTCCACAACATCTGGAGTGCCGATGGTTGCCTACCCCTGATTTAAAGGCTTGAAATTCTGGCTCACTATTGTCTTGCATTCTACAAGCCATGAAATTGATGAAGGTTCCTATCTAAATTGACTGCCCTCCTCCCAACACTCACATACGGTGAAGGAAATAGTCTTGGGAACTCACTCATTAGTTTACTTTTTGTTTTTAAACCAACCCCCAGTCATTGTGTGTTGGTAGCCTGACTGGTTGCCTTTTGAACATGAACTTTCTAATTCGTTTGTTTAACTGAATGCCTGTCAAACTCCTCATACAAGCATCCCACGGGGGCAAACTGTGTAAGAAGGACACTCAGGTTTTTAATAATTGTGTATTAAATCAGAGCATAAGCCATCAACGTTTTGGCCTCTAGTGTCTTTTCAAGATAAATTAACATATCAAGTGAAAATATTTAAAAGGTCACTCCAGGCACCCAGACCACTTCTGCCCATTGGAGTGGTCTGGGTGCCAACTTCCACCACCCTTAACCCTGCAAGTGTAATTATTGCAGTTTTTATAAACTGCAATAATTACCTTGCAGGGTTAAGTCCTCCTCTAGTGGCTCCGTGTTCTTAGAACACGAAAAGTGTTTTAAACGACGCTGGACCTGCTCACGCTATATGAGGACCTCCAGCGTTGCTGAAAACCCCATAGGAAAGCATTGAATGCCGTGCATGCGCATTAGGTCTCCCCCGCTTGCTGAGGAGCATGGGCGGAGCCTGACCCAGCGCCAAGGGACATCTCTTTTTTTTTTAGACCAGTCAGTGTCCAATGCAGCTACTACATCCTCTTCCTGGAGTCTCTTCTGCCTCTGGGGAGAAAGGTTGATCACCTTCTCTCCCTGGCACTTGCTCTGTAGTTGGGGAGTGATCCTTCCCACAGGTGGGTATAGGCATATCCATCCTATAACAAGTATGTACAAAAATGCACATTTTAGGTAATAGTAAACAAATAGCTAGTACAGTGCTTAGGAATTATAGTTTAGGAAATTAAAAGAGAATAGCTTAACATATGCACTGGTAGCAGAATTATCAGGCTGAGGTCAGAAATAATAGCAGGTAATATGCAGGCATAGGATACCCCAAGACCACACCAGCAACCATTTATAAATGAACAGAGGGCATAAATACACCAATAAATGCAATGTATAGAAAAATAATTTAAAATGTAGGGCATGCTCAGAGACATCGCTGTGTTAAAATAATGGATTACCCTATAGACACAAAGAAGCCCTGCCTGAGCCTATGAAAAGTAAAATCTTACCAGCCTGAGTGCACTTGTATGAGGCCACTGGAGCCACCAACAGATAACACATATGGAGCAGCTGATAAACATCAAAATAAATCTAACCATGTAATTATGACAAAGGAGAGATAAAAAAAAATGCTTGAGAAGACATGATGCAATCTTTTTGGACCTCTATTTATCTGACCCTTGGTGCTGGAAAAATGCCCCCTGGCAAAGTCCACAAGTCTCCACACCCAGTCGCATCATCTCTTTCTTGTCCCACGGGCTAATGCATAGTACACACAGACCTGTCCATTTGTGGTGTGCAAACCAGGATCTCTGGAGGGTACACCTTGACCTATGGGATGCTTCTTAGGTCGTCAGCAGTGTCAGAGAGGTTTCCCCCCTGAGGCCCATGGCTCAGGTAAGAAGCCGCCATTAGGTGTTCCTGCTGTATTCTGGTATTCTACACACCTCTGGTAATAGGGCTGATGCACAGGCTTGTCCAGAATCGGGAGCAGATCTCATCAAATGCTTTATTGAAGTAATCGTTTTCTGAATGACTAACAGTCTGTCACATCGTTGTGAAGGGATTTTGGCCCCACTCTTATTTGGAATCATTGTCCTGTTGCATGACCCAATTTCGGTTAAGCTTTAGCTGTCAGACAGATGGCCTCACATTTGACTCTAGAATACTTTGGTATATAGAGGAGTTCTTGGTCAACTCAATGACGGCAAGGTTCGTCTCTCCAAAGGACATTGTTCCAGAAGTCTTGTGGTTTGTTCAGATGCAACTTTGAAAACCTAAGCTGTGCTGTCATGTTATTTTTAAACAGAAAAAGCTTTCTCCTGGCAACCCTTACAAACAAACCATACTTATTCAGTTTTTTTCTAATTGTACTGTCATGAACTTTAACATGCTAACTGAGACCTGTACAGTTTGAGATGTACCGTATTTTTCGTTCCATAAGACGCACCACACCATAAGATGCACCTAGTTTTTAGAGGAGGAAACCCAGAAAAAAAAATATTCTGAACAAACTGTCCCATAGTGTTTCTTACACTGTCCCCTAGTGATTTTTAGCCCCTCTTTCCTCTGTCCCATAGTGATCGTTAACCCCTCCTCCTCTGTCCCATAGTTATCTTTAAGCCCCCCTCCTCTGTCCCATAGTGATTGTTAACCCCTCATCCTCTGTCCCATAGTGTTCTTTAACCCCCCCATCCCCTTGTCCAATAGTGTTCTCATCCCATAGTGTTCCCCCCCTTGTCCCATAGTGCACTTTCCCCCCCATAGTGTCCCCCCCTCCCCTTGTCCCATAATTACCTGTCTTGTAGCGTGGGCTGGCTTAACAGCTCGCACCTTGGTACAGGAACTTCAATTTCAGGTTCCGGTTCCCGGCGGGACTAAAAGGAAGTGTGCACACTGAGTGTCCTTTCAGTCCCGCCGGAATCCGGAACCTGAAATTGAAGTTCCTGTACCGCGGTGCGCGCTGTGCTGCTGGCCCACGCTACAAGACAGGTAAGTAAAGCTTCACATTCGCTCCATAAGACGCACAGACATTTCCCTTCACTTTTGAGGGGGAAAAAAGTGCATCTTATGGAGCGAAAAGTACGGTAACTCTTGTGTTTTTTGCAATTTCTCTGAGCATTGCTCGGTCTGAGCTTGAATGTGCTGGGACGTCCACTCCTGGGAAAATTAGCAACTGTCTGAATGTAGATGAGATGAGTTGAGTCTGAAAGGTTGTCATGGTACCTCTGGGTTCTAGTCTGACTCCTTGACATCATCGTGATGTCATATGTCACTCCAGCATCAGGTCAAATGCAGATCCTAGATCAGGGACTCCATTTCCCATAATGCTCTCACATCCATAATACTGGCAAAGCATCAGGCGACTTGTAGTCCACAACACCTGGGGTGCTGAAGGTTGCCAACCTCTGCCCTAGAGCATAGCTTGTTTTCTCACCTTCCTATAGCCATAGAGTGTTAAACCCAAGTATATGCCTCTACCTTGATTTCTATCAATAAAGAATCTTAGACCAAGCTCTGTGTATTAGAGTCAATAGCATCCTGATAGTGGATAAATTAAGGCTAGTAAATAAGTCTTAATAAAGAGTTCCAGAGAATAGGGTTGACTAGGATTTGCAAGAAAAATTAGCCTGTTAGAGGGATGAAGACATCAGGTTGACATTTGAGTTAAGTTTTTTTTTAGGTCAGTTTTGGGTTGCATTTGGTATGAAAATGCAATGGACGACAAATATAAAATAATCATAAGAACAATATCTCGCTAGTTTAGTGTTATTATGATTACGTCTTACTGAGCTGATGCGTCATCATTTTGATCTTGCAAAACTCAGCCTTCTACGCCAAAAAAGTTAAACTGATCTGCATACACAATACTTTTATAAATTATACAGAGTAAACAGTATACTTCTTAGAACAATGGTTCATAATCTTTATTGATTATAATATAATGTATGGCAGAATGAATTGTTCTAGAATTTATGATACTTTGGAAGACCCCATTAAAATGATTTATGACGTAATAAAACAATACAACTCCTTAGTGACTCTTTCAGAGAGATAAACCTGCATTATTACATTTCACCTCCTGACCTTAGAATAGCTGCAGAAAAAAAATACACTCACTAAGTCTAATATTGTGCTGTTGACCTGATTCATTTCAACTCATGTGCACATGTGCAATGATGCCTCTTTCCCCATTTAATTTAATTAAGATTTCAAGAAGACAGAACATTTGAAAATATGATTGGGAGATATGACATAAT